AGGCTTATTTGACATGAGGAAGCTCTCAGTGTGGCAGCAGCCTTCATATCCTCCCTGCTCTTGTTTTTCTCTCCCCTCTTCTCATCTCTTTCTCTCTCTGAACTCCTCTTCTTTTTTCTTCTCGTGCTGCCTTTTGAGGAGAATATTATTCAGCCTCCACTGAGAAAATCTGCTTAGTCCGGCAAAAAACAGGTGAAATGCTCAGACAGGAGCTGTGGGCTATATCAAGTTAAGATGACGCTTTCTAAGAACCAGACTAGTACATCAAATTCAGAATACATGTGTTTGTCTGCAACAATACGGATATATTGTCTGTTAATAGCAAAGAAACATACTTTTAAACATGTGTGCTTTTATTAGCCTGTTAGTGTGCTATGAGGAACATACAGTGTGTCTCTTTTTATATTTATGAGCTGGTAGTGGGGAAGTGCTTATGCATTTTTAAAGATGTAGTCTATAGAATTCACAAGAGGGAAAATACCAGCAGGCTTCAATCCTCCGAGGATTGGAGCGGCCAATGATCAGCTGTAGTTTATTCCAGCTCTCAACTTCTCAGAGTGGCTGTAATCAATATGTTTACATTAACATAGAGGTCACATGTAGTGATGAACCCACGGAGAAATACAACCGGACTCTGCAGTTCCCCCTCAGCTCTACGAAGCATTTTTGTGTTTTAGTTTAGGTTGCACAGTTACATTAATGTTAATGGTATTGTGGATGCTCACTTACTGGGTCGCTTAATGTTTTCCCTTCATGTGTGTTTCCTGCTGTGACAAGTCAAAATGTCTGCTGTGAAAAGGGTCTATTGCAGGCCGAAATCAATATTTACAGAACAAGTATGAAGTTCTGTATCATTCTCATCATTAGAAACATTCATTTTGGTTTATCACTAAATAAATGTGTCTTCTTTGTAGTTCACATATTCAAAACTCATGTTTTCTTGTCCTTTAATTTGACCTTTAGTTCTTCCTGTTATGAACATTACTACTCTGAACATCAGTTTGGTTCATCGTGTTATTTTAATGTCACTGATTGTGATTTTCAGCAATAGCTGACCTTTTTCAGATGATGCCGTATCACCCGCTATCCTTTCGTCACAAACACATAGTAGTCACATGGTTTTCTTTGCCTCTCCTCTGTGTCATCTGTCTACTCAGTCACCCTTTTTTTTTTTACAACTGAAAATCCAACAAGTATAAAGCGTTGGGCCTCAATCTGGATTTCATTTTTATTTTTTGTAGTCGGTAGGAGCAGCTGTGATGTTGAGCAGCTATCATGTGCCCTATTGTGCCTTGTCTCCTCTTTGTCATGTGACCTATGAGAGTCCACCGCCCTCAGTAACTACACACAGAAGCATTTAGCACACCGTCAGATGTGGTGCGAAATTAGCTTAGCTCTGTGAAAATGTAGCTTAGCGCTTCAGTTCAAGAGAAACGGTCTCAGTTAGATCTACGTCGCATGATGTGGTAATTGAGCAACGCACTCTATATGTAAAGGAGGAATAGCAGAGCTCGCTTTATTTCTGACTGCTTGAAGAGAACTAAAACAGTCAGCTTGAAGCTGGAGGCACTCCATCCCTCTGGCCCAAACTGCTCCAGAAATAGGGCCTGTTTTTGTAAGAAGATCCATCTCAGAGATGCAGCCACCTCCCTCTTCCCTCCCTGTCTTTTCCCAGAGAGCCTCTGGTGGTCTGTCGGGTCTCTGACGTGTTAGTTGTGTGATTAGAGAGTCTGTTAAACTTATTTCGAGATTTAGGAAACATGATGTCTGTAGTTATTCCTCATGGTTTTGCATTCAGATTGGGAGGTTCTCCTCAAATGTCGAGGCAGTGAACTTTTCAGATTTCCATATCCTGAAGCCTCAGTAATGAAATTGATTATTATTTCCACAGGAAAGAACAGTTTTTTTATTTACATTGATATATAAGGAGTAAGATGACATTAGCATTAGGTTACGTCTGTGTCGGCGCTGTCAAAATAGGATTTTTGTGATTTGTTGTGATCAGATTATATATCTGAATGTATTTGAGGAGCTTTGCGTTCACATCTGCTTGTGTAAAAGACAAATGTGTTTCCTGTTTGATTTTGGAGTTCCTGCTTGTCCCTGGGTGGAGGATATTTATTGTGTAACCACATCTACATCTAGACCCACTTTTGTATACTGCCTTGCAACATTTGACAGTCTACAAAATGTCTCTCTGCTCGAATCATTGTCATGAATAGATTGTGTTGTGATAGCTTTGTGGTATTGCTGCTGGTTAACTCGACAGCAGTTGTGCGGTGCGGCATGATGGGTATTTGACAGATGCAGGGTGGTTGTAATCATGGGAGTAGTTGCTGAAATGCATCTGTCAAGTGAGCTTTAAAGGCTTCTCCCTGAGGAACGACATGACGTCGCTGTCCATTTTATTCTCAGACTTTCTGAAATTGTTGCACGGAAATAAACTTATTTATGTCATGTGTCAAACAGGTTATTTAACTCGGATATTGTCATCATGGAAAGATTTTTAGATAAAATAAAAAATGGAACTAATACCATATTGATTCCTCTGTTAAAAGAATGTTGAGAGCACGTAACATCTTTTATTCTGAATTCCTTCCTTGTACTGTAGATTTTATGAAAATTCATCCAAAATGCACTTTTATTATTATTATTTCCAATGGATAAACAAACATCAGGTATGCAGGGTTTGAATGAAGCCAATAGAGGCAACACTAGCTCATCACTGAGTTATTTGAGGCCGTTCGGACGGCCGTAAAAGAACTGAAGAGCAGATGATGGCAGGTCAAGTGAGAGGAAGCCGGCTGGGACTGAACCATGTGTTGGATCGGTCGGAGGGGGTCTCTCAGGTGTCAGTTGTCTTCCTCCTGCAGATCGGCGCCTCAAAGGAAAGGCGGGGAGGTCACATGTTGGCTTTTGAATGTTACTGCCGTCCTTGGGGCCTTGGAAACAAATCCCAGCCCCTGATAATCGCTGTGAAAGACAACCTCATGTATCCGCTTCCTCATTTCTATAATTTCTGCCATTTTTATTGTTAATGTAATTGTACTAAATTGCTCGGGGTATAACATTACACCATTTAAGCTCATTCACTTCTGGCTTCATGTTCAATAGTCAAGGTAATAGAATAATTAATCACACTTTTGGTTCTTGTCAGCAATTCTGTCTTTTTTCATAGGCTCATAATACAGTGTTGTGCTGCTGGGAAACCTCTCTAACAGGGTCATGTCCAGTGTGTCATTCCCAATGCTCAAATATTATTGTTTAGTCAAATTCAATGTAATAATGGTTTGTGAGCGCAGGGCACAGTTTTCAACACTCCATACTTTTTCCTTTTTGAAAATGTACTGAAGAACAAGAAAACTGTATCAGGTTATTTGAAATTTTTAATTTTAAAGCTGCAACAATTTGTTAGTTCATCAATTTGTCAATCAATGAGACCAAAACTAGTACATTTGCTGTATTAACATTAGATATATGATAGTGATTAATCTTTAGGTTTTTCAAGTGTTGGTCGAGAAATTCGAAGACATCACTTTGGGCTCTGGAATGTCGTGACGGGTGTTTTTCACTACTTTATGGCATTTCATAGATTAAACTGTGAATTGGTTGATCGAGACAATAATTGGCAGATAATGAAAGTTATATCAACTTATGTCAACTATTGCTCTGGAATAGCTTGACAGTCGTTGAACACATCAACAACGCTCTTGAGTTTGCTTGTCTTGGCCCTCACACCATCACACTGCTAATGTGAGACTGACCGCCGGAGAGCCGAGCCCCGAGGTGTTGAAAGTGAAAATTAGAGAAGCGTTTAGTCACTTCACAGGATCTGCGAGTTAACCTCACCTCTGCCGGTCCTCATCTCCTCTCCACCTGCCGATATGTGTTCTCACCTTCAGGCGCATACGGTGCTAAGGTCATAGCAGGAGTCACACATGACACTCATGGCTCATTATTTTATCAACTCAAGCTGTGTCTCTTGAATGTGGTCATTTTTGTGATGTGATTTGTGATTTTCCTCCGCCACATAACTCGATGGCCACATCACATGTCTTTTTAGTGAATGAATTCCCTTTCAGCTCTGTGGTTGTGAACATGATTATTTTATGTGTCCTTGTGAGTGTTTGTGCGACTTTTCATTTGCATTTTAGCAAATGAGTCTCCAGCTGGCGATACGTTTCCTGATCAAACACTGGGGTTTTTAACACACTGTATTATTACACGATGCATCACGCACACCCGTCTGCAGTGAGGCCTCTAAAGATTACTTCATATGCTGTAATGGTGCCGCCACACCACAGTAAAGGCCAGGAGGAGAAGGGAGATTTTCCAGAGTTCGGTTTACGTTTGAGGTCGTCTTTATAGCTTTTAAAAATGGCAACCCACCCTCTCCTCGTCACACACACTACTCTCAGACAGTGGCAGTGTGTTATTCCTAATGTGGTAACTGCAGAAAGGTGTGGCTCCTCAGTGACCCCTCGGCTAACCAGATGATCATACAGTAACTCTTGATTCATTGGTTTCACTTCACTGACCACCATCACACTATTCTGGTCAACAGTAACAGTCAGAGTGCAGTGAAGCATCTCTATAATCTAATAGTCTCTACTATTGGGAACTGAATCCTGCCCACTCAGATATTTTCTGACCTATTAGCTTTCATTGCTCAACTTAGTTTCTCACAAAAGCCTCTTTAGTGATTCGCTGAATATCTTTAACCAAGACACTTAGTACATCTACAGTGTTTTCTTTTTTACTGAAATACATGGATTGTGTTGTTGTTGAGCACTAAGAAAATGATTTCCCTTTGTTCAATAGCAAGGTGCTTAAATTATCTTAGAAATTAATCAGAGAATCACAATAAAATGTTGAGCTTTTATCGATAGAATGACAAAAGAACCGACTATGAGAAAATAAATGAAATTGATCTCTATGAGTCTGTAAAGTTACAGTATTTAACGGGACTCTTCTTATGTCCTCTCTCTCTTTTCCACCAGTGAACAGAGTATCTGCCAGGCGCGGGCCTCTGTGATGGTCTACGACGATGCCAGTAAGAAGTGGGTGCCCATCAAGCCTGGGCAGCAGGGCTTCAGCCGCATCAACATCTACCACAACACTGCCAACAACACCTTCAGAGTGGTGGGCGTCAAACTGCAGGACCAGCAGGTGAGACACGCAAGAAATAATCAGCATCACAATCACTGGCGATGAGAGGACATTTCTGATGCGCTGACTTCAGAGCTACTTTAAATTTAGATTTAATTACATGGTCTTTGACTGATGTCAGGCGTCCATATTTGGTATTTTCAGGCACTTACATATTAGTAAGTGCAGAGTCGAGATAGTTTCCCAGTCGTAATACCTGGACGTTGGAAACTCGTAATTACGATAACTCTGATATGACAATAATGCGGCATTACTTATAGCAAATGAATGACAGTTTTCACAGATTTTCCATTTGAAATGATGTAACAGTTGTTTCCTTATGTTTTGAGGTTGTATCACAATAAAAAATAGTTTCTTCCTTTTTTTCAATGGATTTGAACATGCGTATATGTTTGTTGAATATGCTACATGATGATCTCAGATTGAACTTAATGCTTGACTCTTTATAATTGAAACAGTTGAAAAGAAATTCAAAGTCCACATTTGGTCATTTAACGACACAAATTAGAAAATTATACTTTGTGACAAATTGACCCCAAACAACTGTATTTAAGTAATGTAGCTCTGAATTTATCCTCACTGGACATTTGAGGATACATTTGAGTTACAGACCTTAGAGGTTAGAAAAGTATAAAGTGGAGCGAAGCAGTGGGACACTCGTATTAAATCTCCAAACAGCTGATCAGATGTGGGGCAGAATATTAGTAACAACCTCAACACCAACTCTTGAAGTGCATTGAGTGAAATACTTGATAAACAAAATGTGTTCCTTTATGAGTGACGAGTTGCACATCATCGAATCTACAAAACATTATAATTCACTGCTTAATTTTCCTTCCCCTGCTGAAGGTGGTGATCAACTACTCCATAGTGAAGGGACTGAAATACAATCAGGCCACCCCAACCTTCCATCAGTGGCGTGACGCCCGCCAGGTTTATGGGCTGAACTTTGCCAGTAAGGAGGAGGCCACCACCTTCTCCAACGCCATGCTGTTCGCCCTCAACGTCCTCAGCTCACCTGACAGTGGAGGTAAGTTATCTCACTTTAATGCACACTTAATCTATCCCGTTAGAAAGTTACTTTTTATTATGAGGTCCACATTTGTATTTGACTTGCTGGCAGGCTGTGAGGTTTTTCTGAGAATTTCTTTTAATTAAATGGCTCGTCTCAGTAGAGAAATAAGAGATTGAAGTTTTTGAATCACAAACTGGTGTTGCAAACCTGCTGATGGAACCGTTTGGTTCAAATTACGACTTGCTGACTTAAACCGTCATCTGTGAGCAGTTTAAATCTATTTTTGCTCTCAAAAGAATGTCAGGTAACCACAAGCAAATAATTCACATAGTCGTATGTTTTCAGTTTGTTTTGACTACGTAGATGCTCTTTAATGGATACTTTCTCATCAAACTCTACCCCGTTAAACAGGATGCACATGGTGTACAGACAGCATGTTGAGAAGACAGTATTGCAGCGATACATTCAAACAGCACAATAATCTAAAGTGTTGATTGTATGTCCACATTAATTTAATTCACTGCAATATTCAAACCTTATGAAGTGTAACTACTTAACTAAGCTGTACTACCCTCTGCTGGTTAATAACATGTACTGCATGCACTCTGCACACTAAACCAAAATCATAACAGTAATATCTGCTGGTAGGTTACTGACTGAGATTTGTCCTCATTTAAAGATACATTTAAATTTTCATTGTAATACATTAATTTTCAGTGCTTTTAAGATTAAAACATAACTCGCTATAGCACAGCAGCACAATTAGAGGCATGTTTTGAACTGCAATTGAGGCCAAACTCACACCTACTCTTGGTTTACTAAATAGCGTCTGACCAGCTCTAGTTACAAGCTACTTATAATCTGTGTGTGTGCATAAGACATTGAGAGAGGATATCTGTGAGCATTTAATTGCGGTGTCATCCCATCCTTGTGACTCTCCTAGTGGGGGCTAAAATATCCCAATGTGGAGCCTTCATGTCGTACCCCACCGTGCTCACATAACAGCCCTCTGTTTTTTGGGTGCATTTGGATGTGGGATCATGGGCCTCGTCATGCAGGGCAAACGTTTTTACTTAAGTACATTGTTTATGCTGTTTCTTGCTGCAAGAAGTGGCATAGTTACATAAAAAAGTATCGTGTAATTCTGAGTAGGCTGTGGAAAAATCATGCTGACTCCAGAGATTTCACCTGGTGTCCTCAGAAGGGTTTCTTCAGCCAACATCATCCTCAGTAAGTGTCCAGCTGTCGAGGAATTTGTCCACCAGCCATGCATGTTGCCTGTGCTTATAGACGTTGAGCATCAGTTATTTTGGGTGAATAGATAATCATGCATTGTGTTGCTTACAGTGGTAGAAAAGACATTTACTCAAGTGCAATTTGGTGGTACTTTACTTAACTTGAGTATTTCTATTTTATGCTACTGTTGTACTTTTACTCCGCAACATTTCAGCTGAAAATATTGTACTTTTTACGCCTCTACTTCTTTCTGACAGCTGTACTACTTTTCAGATGGAATTTTTACAAAAACAGACATTTCATAAGCTTAAGAAATACAACACATTGTAGAATTATAAACCAATGGTTCTCAACCTTTGTTGCTTTGGAACTTTGTGTAGCAGAACTTTTTAACCAGTCAAACGGGGTATTTCCACACGAGACATGCACAGAGCATTCAGATTCAGAGTACAGAGTACGAATCAGAATAAAGGTCTGATAACACTTTGGAACATGTCATTTGTAAGTGAAGGTGAAGTGTATGTTTCTGTTTCATTCATGCTGCTTCTGGGGAGCTTGATGTTAGTAATCCATCTTTTTTCTATTGTGTGGCCTTGTGAGTATTTAAGGAAAGATTGGGGGACTACAAGAGGGAGAAATAATTGATTTTCCTTTGATCACATATTACAACAGCTACACACTTGTGTGCCGATAAAATGCTTACAAGTCTGATCAGGCCCGCTCTTCCCTTGGGCTTCCTGTACTTCCTTCACCATGGAAACAGCTAGCGGCGTATACCATGCACCACGTCAGCAGTAGAAACACACTTATGCATGGATACACATGCAGGACCGCACAACAGGGGGTGATAATTGTCTTCCTCTCATCTACCTCATTAATGTGTGCAGAAAGCTTAATTGTGTTTTAAGAGTGAATCCCTGAAGTCTCGCCTAAAAACAATACCTAAAGCAGTGTCATTGTGTTAGAAGGCCTATATTTACAAAGTCTGCAAGGTGTCACTGAATATTTGTATCAACTCCTGTTTAGCATCGCATTTATTGTGATCTGAAAGCTTATTCAAGATCCGGATTGCTCTTCTTAAAGAGCTTCATAAAGACGTATCAGAGTAAACGGTTATTATTTTAATGTCCTGTTCAGAATATTTGCTCAATTTAATGTACAGCTTTGCCAGCAGAGCACATAGTTACCAGGAACTGACAAGCAGAATTCAGGAGAGGAGAGGAGCAAAAGAAACAACACGTCTTCCAGGTGTCACTTCTTTTTTCCTTGCATCTCGTTATAGTGCTAAAACAAAACAATCCACTAACCAGGTCAGCTGTGGCAGAATAAATTAAAGTATGTCATTATCAGCAAGTGATAACTGCAGTTAGCATATTTAGTCTGTTACTGCCTGAGGACAAAAACACCATGCACACGTCAAGGGTTTGGAGCCAAGTCAGTTTTATTTTTATTAAATAAAGTTAAGTTTATCTCAGTGGACAGGAAAAATGTCTCCAAAAAACTGTCCCTTTTTAGTGTGTGGATATATATTACATTTGTATTTTATTGTTATTAGCTTGTCAGTTTCCTGTAAACTACGTTTAATAAACCAACCTGCATGAAAGTTGCCATCAAATAAAGTGTGTGTTAAAGAGTTAGTCTGTGGCAAAATGGATCATATTTTAGCCCAAACCCTTCATAATACATGAATGGAAATCTGTTGTAGAGTTCTGTCTGACAGTCACATTTGCTGCAAAATTACAATGAATCCAAAAACACAAAAGAGTCATATGAAAAGCGAGTATTATATTTGGTACAATAAGGGTCAAACAACTCACTTTCCACTCCTCGCTGTGGTCCATATAGTGTTTTTCAAACTACAGTTTGAAGCCACAGCCATGCCCCTGCAGCCCCGCCCACCTGTGCTCCAGACACAGCGAACGGAAATATCACCCATGGGTGTCCTTGATGTCACATCAGGCGTTGAAGTTTAATGACTGGTATCCTGGTGAAATATGATAAGTGCTCTGCCTGTTGCTCCCCGTTAATAGCCGTCCCAGAATGAGGCTCTAACTTCGTCACTCGGCGGCGGGGGGGCTGAAGGCTGTCTGTAGTTGGTCAACAAGCAAACTGCTAAACTGGGATGCTAATGCGGCTGATAATTTGGCAACTTCTTTAAACAATGTTGACATAGTGACTTAAATGCTAATAAATGTATCTTTTGTTGACAGAACTTTATCGCTACCCAATCCCATGTATTTTTGTTGCCTTAGAGCAGAGGTAGCCAACACGGTGCCCGCGGGCACCCTGTCGCCCGCAGGGACCACGTGAGTCGCCCGCAAGACATGTTCTAAAAATAGCACTAGTCATTGTGGAGCTCCGTCTAAAATTGTAGTTGCTGTTCTTTTTTAATCAAAAACGCTTGCAGAGAGTTAAGAGAGTTGGGTACCTGGAGGCGCACGGCGGACAGCCAGGACGAGGCTGCCGCACCGCACTAGGTTTTCAGGTTCTGAATGGCGGGCGCATCCCGTTGGTGCCAGACGCGAGCGCACCCCGTCGTCAGGTCCGTAAATCCTCGGAACAGGCCGCGGGGCAACAACTCAGGGGTGGCGGGGGTAGAGGCGAGGCAAAGCAATCCGACCGAAAAGGCCCAGACCAGAGGTTTGACCGCGGGCGCCCGGAGACGCTCGGCTATAGACGAGACTGGTTACTAGTTTCTTCGTGGAGAAAAAGGTACCATTGGAAAAGCTGGTGTCGGTGACAACAGACGGGGCTCCCGCGATGACGGGCCGGCATGCAGGCTTCATTGCGCAATGCAAAGGTGACCCAGACTTCGCAAAATGTCTACATTACCACTGGATCAGTCACCAGCAGGCGCTATGTGCAAAAGTAACCGGCTTTGATCATGTGATGATACAAAAATATCAGAGATGTGATACCTCTGACTTTCAAATGTTGAAACAGATTAACAGAAATAAAAGTTGCATGTTTAAATATATATGTGTAGATACCATCATAGTAATAGAAATAATTCTTAATAATTATTGTGAGGAATAATTAACTGACATGTGATCAAACTGTCTCTTCACATATATTATTATTATTAAGGTGATCTGTGCAATTTTGTTATTCAGGAAGTTTGTATCAAATAAGTAGGCCTTCGTACTACTCGGTACCCTTGAAGTAGCTCTCAGTTTAAAAATGTTGGTGACCCCTGCCTTAGAGAATGTTAAATGTATTTACATTTCATTCATTTGCATGGTATTTCCCTGTTATGTATTTCAGGTTCTTCCTCTCGCTGAGATTCTTTCCTGCTGTGGTTTACGGTTTAAATTCCTGTGGCTGGCAACATGTTGAGCAAATAACATTATAAAGAGTTTGTTGACTGGGGCAGTCACAGTTCCTCACATGAGGCCTGCTGTGGTCTCTTCATTCAGTAAACACTTCCTGCTCTTGATTCTGGGACTATTTTATACGAGACAATTATAATTTTGAGGGCTTGTTTACAGATGGAAATGTTTCTCATAAGTACTCCCGAGTGATCTCACACATATCATACAAAGAATGAGAGATGTTACACACATGTTTAGATCTGGTCTGAATCCTACAATGAAAACAACCCAGAAAGAGAGGCTCAGGACATCTACATGTTACGACAGGATAGAGTGACTATGAAAGTGCATAATCAACAAAGCTACCCAGGCACTTTCATGCTGTGAAATACGGTATATAACTAAATACAGTTGCATAATATTGAAGAGAGAAAAGAGAAAGAAAGACCAGGAAGAAGCAGGAGGGAGTGGAAAGAGTAAATACAAACAAGAAGTGAAACATGGAGTTTAGAATAAATGAAGAGAATGATGGAAGAAGGTTTAAAAAGGACAGATTACTTCTGCTTCGTGTTTGGCGTGAATGCAGCATGAGGTTTGAAGCTTACCAGGACTCGGCTGGGTGTTGACATGCAACATAGAAACTTGCATCAATTTATAGCATTGACTAGCAATCCGTCAAATATCAGCATGATATGTATGTCAAACATTGACTTCTGTTTCTCTCTCTGTAGTACGTAGTCATACGTATACTGTGAGGTTATCTGGCTTCTAATGGTGTCTACTGCAGTACAAACTTATAATCAGTGTTGAAGGGGAATGCTTTTTGATGAATCAATTAAACAGTCAATCATTTGGTCTATAAAACATCAGATTTCCCAGCCCAAGATTGCTTTTTGTTGCCCAACAAACATATTCAGTCTACAATGACACAAGTAAAAAAAAAAAAAAAAAAAGGGCATTTACATAAAAGGACAGCTAAGGCTAAGATGTGTATCTTAATTGGGAGTACAGATGATGGCTGGTGTCGGAATTGATGATTGATTGACTGCTTTTTGTTTTTCCATGGTGTCTTTCAGGTCCAGTCGTCCAGCGCCAAAATGGGCCCTCCTCAGAGGAAAGCGAGGCCCAGAGGAGGTACAATTTCTGTCTGCTTACATGGTGCTGTCTTTAAGCAAACATTAATACATATGATATTAAGATTCTGAGCAAATGGAAGAAGACACTTTAGATGGAAATACAAAACAAAGCGTCTTGGTCCTATTTGCTGCTGCTGTCTGCCGCTTCTTATTCATTCTGTGGCACTATGATCCATAGAAAACCCCTTTAGATCTTAATTTAAGGACAGCGACTACACACAACTACACATCAGGCTTAGTTTATTGAAACAGGCTGGTCCGAAAAAAAAACTTAAAGAGCAGTGACATACTTCCACTTTATAGGATGATGGAGCAACATCAGATGCAGGCGCACAAGGAGAGGGAGCGACGAACGTCAGGATCAGGTGAGGCTTAAACAAGCACCCGCACCCAGCTATATAAACACACACACACATACTCTCTCTCTCATACAACCTGCTCTGGGGACCGAAATGAATTGAAGGCTGCATATCATATTCTCCTAGCTACACAAGCTTTTTAGAAAAAAAAAAACTCATGCACATTACCTCTGTCAACAAACAACCTCGCTGAGGAGCAAATGATATTTGCTCTGCTTTGTGTTTTTTTTATGAGGTAAGTAATCAGTGTGTGCTCAGGCAGAGCACACTGTACTTTCCCATAGCAAACAGGTGATTTTATCATTACCAGAGATACCAGACCCTGATGCAATAGGTTCCTAGAGGTAAACAATCTTTCCCAGTGTGGTTTGTGTTGGTGTTTCCCGCCTTAGTTTCAACCACTACTCCCCAGTCTGTATGCCCTTATGCTTTTTTATTCATGCGCACATATAAATGTTCAAGTCTGCCCCTTAAATATACATTCAGACTTAAACATCCTCCTCTGTCCCTGCTGTCAGTGGCGATATCAGTTACCCCTCTCCCTGCAACATGCTCTTCTGCCATCTCTTTCTTCCAGCTACTGTTGGGGGGGCAAATGCCATATGCTTTCTGACCATGGCTCAGTCATGTTGCATTCTGCTGCTTGTTCTTTTTATGATATTTTGATTATTTCTTATTTGCTATTGGCTTCTGTTTTTTGGATTGCTCCTAATTTTCTCATCTTTACTTGCTTGGTTGCTCAGTTGTTTGCTTTTCATTCTTCTCACATTTTTCTCTTTTCTGTTTTCCTTTGTTTGTTGCCCTCCTTCGTCCTCCTCTTCGTCTGCATCTCCTCTTCCTGTCTCTCCTCTCTCTGTCTTTCTCTCTCTGCCCGTCACAGTCGTTTCCACTCTCCAATATAAAGTGTCCACTCCTCCCACCCACCCAAACACCCCTCCTGAGTACAGACAGTACAGAGCTAGCACACTGCCACCCTCCTATGTCCGTGTGGCCTCCTCTCCTCCCTCCTCCACCTCCTCTCCCTCTCAGGAGAAAGAGGTAGGGGCTGCTAGGGAGAGAGCCCAGCTCTCCTCCCAGCTCTCCACCTCGCTCGCCTCAGCCTTTTCCCCAGTCCAGGCAGGAGTGACCACCCAGGGCCGACAGGTCCGTCAGATACCCCTGTCTCCTCCCACAGCAGCTCGCCACCTACACCTTCAACAACAACAGCAGCAACAAGACTTCTCGCTCCCCCCAAAACACGGCACCTGGTCCGCCTCCCATTTGCAGCAAATGTACACCCAAATGCCCCCTTCCGCTTCCCCTCCAGTTATGATGGCCATGCCTGTGAAGCAGGGTTTGCCCCAACAGCCCACCCCCCCGTTGGCTCACCCCCTCCCGCCCCTGAGCACTAGAATGAAGCCCCCACCTCTTGACCCAAACGCCGTGACGGGCCATCACCAGTACCCCCAGCACCAGCCCCACCCTCACTCCAACGGCCAGCCAGACGGCCCCTACTCTCCTCATTCTCAGCATCTGCCACTCACCCCGCAGTACTGCGAGGCCGTCCCCCTGCCTCCTCTGATAGGTCAGACAGCCCCAGGCCCCGCCCCCAGCCACCAGCCCCAGTACCCATCCACCTTCCACCCTCAGCAGCAACTGTATCTGCAACAACAACAACAACAGCAACAGGTGTACCACCAGCAGGCCCAGCCCCCCACCACCACTTCCTCCTCCTCACCCCCCTCTTACACTGCCATGTCTGACGGGGGCTCGCCCAAGAAGACCCCCTCCCCTGTCCCCCAGCAGGCCCCCATGTTCAGCAGCAGTAAGTATGAGGAGGAGAGAGGAGGAGGTAGTCTCTCAGCAGTGGGATGGTACTTGTGTGTGTGTATGTGTGTGTGTGTGTGTGTGTGTATGTGTGTGTGTGTGCGAGGTAGGTCACGTGCGGGAGTGTACTTTCACATGCACCTCACCCATAATGAATCATGAGAGCATTAAAAAAGACACATGTATCATATGCACGCAATACACCAATAGTCCAACTCCATACAGGTTTTTTCACTTATATTGTCTGATAAGCTCTATTCTCAAGACTGTGAAGGCAGATCAAACAGTATTTATTGCTTATGTAGACAGAGTATCTATAGATACATTCATACTGTGTTTGATCTGTCTGGCAATCATCAAAGTCACATTATTGTCACACGGTTACTCAGTTTCAGGCAGTGAAAGCTCTTCTCACTGCTTTATTGAAGGATATGTTTTTATTGTTTTATATGGCTGCCATTGTCACTTTCACAAGCAATGTCACAAACATAGACATTGTAAAGGGATAGTGTGCAGGCTCACGTAGTTCAGATATCTGCGTTTCCCACATGCACTTACTGAACAACCAAGGCGGAGTTTTCAAAACCGCACCCTTCTGCAACTGTATTACCCTCAGACAATAATGTAACTTTCATAACACACTAAAATGAAATGTAATCAATAGCTGCCTGTAAAGTTAAAAATATATTTAAAAAACATTATTTAGCTGTAAATAATCAGCCAATTTACCAAACAACCAATATCACTCTCCCCGTGAATTTCTCTATTTCTCTAATTCCATCATTTCCATTTTCTGCACAAATGAGGCCCAGTGGTCAGCTGTCTTGTCAGCAATTGTTAGCTGCTAGTTATACAGTGAGAGTGTGTAGCACATCATTCCACAGACGGTCTTCATACAACCTTCCAAGGGGTAAAAAGGTCAATCAACCCATATAGCCATTAACCAATATGGAATTGTGCCCCTCCCAGGCCCCCCTGTCTCTGCAGGTATGCTTTCTGTGGCGCCTCCTCCAGCTACAGTTCCAGCACCCATGGCTGGTCCTCCAGCCCCCCCACCGCCACCCGGTCCACCACCCCCAATGGCGGTTCCCCCACCCATGCCCCCTCCACTACCCACTGGTGGAGGGCCTCCTGGGGGCCCACCCGGTGCCCAGCACCAACCCTCAGGACTGGCTGCAGCACTGGCTGGAGCCAAACTACGTAAAGTACAAAGGGTGAGCTCCCATGGATAGAGCTAGCTCAGGAGATATAGATCCAGTCCTTCTGGTTTTTCATTATCAGTAGTTAATTGTTGAAGCCATCTTATGTAAAGGGGGAGGGGTTAAGAAGACAAAGAGCGCGTTCAGTCCACAAACCCCAAAGCGAAAAAACTGCAACCCATTTTATAATGTGTTCTTCAGGATGAGAGCAGTCCGCCCGGGTCTAGTGGCAAAAGTGACTCCAACCGGTCTAGTGGTGGCAGTGGAGGTGGTGGGGAGGGACTAATGCAGGAGATGAATGCCTTACTAGCTCGCAGGTGAAACAGCTACACAAACACACACACACCCTTCACCTTTACCTTTAATTATGAGGAAACGTGAAAAAACCTGTTCTCTCAGTCATATTAAATGACCTTTTTCATTTTGGTCTTCCTGGTTCTGCTTTACTTGCAGTAAATGTTTATCTCAAAAAATAAAAAAAAGCTCTTGTTCTGGTATTTTATCCATGTCTCAATCTTTCTGTCCCAGCTACTGAACTATTTGTATGTTTATCTCACTTTTTGCTCATTTATTCATTTCTCCCTCTCACAGACGGAAAGCTTCAGAGAAACCTGATGAAGTAAGTCTTTTGCCAGAAATAGTTCAACATTTTGGGAAATTCTTCATGTTCATGTTAGATGAAAAGATTGATACCACATGTCTGTTGAATGTAATACTGGAGTCAGCAGCACACAGCTAGCCTGACTCTGTCCAGAGGTAATCTACCTACCAGCCTGTAAAGCTCACTCATTTTGTGGTTGTACTGGGAGTCATGTGCCACACAATTTATTTGCCGGGCACAGTTCCCAAGAAATAGTCCAGCACATGACTTCTGAAACTTCTGAGAGAGTAAGGCTAGCTTTCCTAAAATATTCAACTGTTCCTTTAAGAAGTGATCTTAAATGTAACGTAATTGGGAAACTTACAGTAAAGCTTATTCACTATTGTTTAGTGATAATTCATTTCTCTCTCTCCTGCAGGACGACCCTAGAGGGCCAGGTCAGCAGAACTCAACGGGTACTAAACGAACCTTCTCACCTGGTTATTGTTGGTGTTTTAAGATGTCTCCTGCTCTGCATTATAGTTTACTGTTTCAGAGTTGTTTGAATTTATGTTATTTATTCTTTTCTCTTTTCCAGATGCTATGAAAAAGCCATGGGAACGATCCAACTCTGCAGACAAGTCCTCGCTGGTGTCCAGGTCTGTCGATAAGAGGAGTAAAGGGAGTGTGAATATGAAATAGCAAACCTCGAGCATTAACCGCTCAGGTTTCAGCATAAATCTCATCCTTTGTGTTATAACCGCTGATGCAAGTAACAAAAATGAAATACTGATTTTGGAAGAATTGTCTAAACTGTGGTTACGTAGGGAGTAACCCTTGAATATGTAGGCTAGTGTGTAATACTCATCTGCAGCGTATCTTTTTGTGTTGCAGAGTGAGACCCATCGGCAGCACTAGTGAATCAGACACAGAATTTGACAGAATGAAACAGGTTGGTGTCATTGACATGTGTTTAACGACAGTAAAGGATCATATGGGTTTGTACTTTTTAGATGAACTATTTTACTAACCCTCTGTTGTTGAACTCACATGAAGGTCTTGTTTTGCAGGAAATTTTGGATGAAGTTGTACGTGAGTTGCATAAAGTGAAAGATGAAATCATTAATGGTAAGCAATGCAGTGCTTGTAAAGTTCATTGCTGTATCCGGGAGCACAAAGCATGTTTAATCTTTATTCTCTCACTAGTTTTTACAACTCACTGGCTATAAAATGCTACGACAGCAGTTTGAGTTTAAAAAAAAAGCTTGTCAAAACCAGTAATTCTTCATTTTAATTCTATTTTTCCAAACATTTGATACAAACAAATACACTGTACATGGTTGGCCAAGCATGAGTGCAAAGTTGTTGCTGCTGAATATTTTCATTCTCTAAAACGTGTTCTTTGTTGCAGCCATCAGACAAGAAATCGGCAGAATCGGTACATCCTAATCTCATCTGAGCAACAGTAGGAGAGCAAGAGGAGGATGGACATGCAGATGCACAGACACGAGGACCAGGGGAATGTTCTCTCAATGTTTCTGTGACCCTGCGATGCCATGATGCAAGTTGCAGAGATGTTGTGCCAACATTTGAGTCTGCTGGACAGCGAAAATGGAAGAGAGAAACAGAGAGAAGGGGTTAATGAGACAGGAGAGCGGAATGAGAACAGAGGGATGCTGAAAGAAGGATTAAAGGACTGACAAACTCAAACGGAGGATGAAAAATATACTAAAAGATGAATTGAGGGATGGACGGACATTCGTGCTGAGTTTGGTGTTGTGGTCCTCTCTGTGCACCTATAGACTCAGTCAGCCCAGTGTTGCAGCTCTTTGTTCTCTGTTCAGTCCAAGTCTTAAGAAGAAAATATTTTTGTTTTCTAAGTTTTTACTGTTTTATTATTTAAAAACTGTGGTGATAATGATGATGCTGTTGATGACAATGAGTATTTTATTGATATTATAGAAGGAGAAAGGAATCTTGCACACCATTTATGTCAGCCTTTTATATTTTCTATTATTTGTTTGTTTAGTTTATCCCTAACTATTTCATAATAACAAGCACAAGAGGGCATAATGGTGCTGCAGACTCACCTGCCCTCGACTGGCATATTTTAAAAAACAAAACAAAAAAACAGGCTTTTCATGACTTTGTTCATACTGGTGTTGTGTTTGTAACCTATTCTCTCCAGAGATGTTGGAAAACATCTTGTTTTCGCCACAATTAGCTACTTAAAATACCTCTTTCCTCCAGATCCGAGGATTAACGCATCGCAGATGAGCAAATGATGTTTGGCAATTGACCAGATAACACACAACAGTCTGTATAACTCCAGTGTGACCGAGGTTCATGTCTCTACCTGTTCATATGTGCGAGATCATTGAAACTTGGGGATTCCTCACAAAACAGGCCGATAACTGTAAATGTGCCACCTGGTTTTACGTAGATATAAAACAATGTAGTACTACATCCTATACTTTGTGAACCTCCCAAGTATGCATGAAACCCCATCTCTATGAATTTATTTGATTTTGAAAAAAAGAAAAAATACAAACGGTGGTACATTTATCAATGTGGTTTGTTTCCATGAAGATTCCCCCTTCTATATATGAGATGTTGAACTTGATAATGGTAGCAATGTGGGGGGGGGGGTTGCTATGGCAATGTGCAAATCTTACCAGATAAGAATGTGCAGAAAGTGAATGGTAGGCCTATGTGATGGTAGCTAAATGTGTCTTTGCAGAAAGGATTTGGTTCAATATTGGTTGTTGCATTCTATCCACTCTGTCCTCTCTCAAATACGTTCTAATTTAAAAGCTGGAAGTAAATTCATTCAAACAATAGACGTGTCAACCATCTACACATTATCCTGCTGTGTGTGTGTGTGTGTGTGTGTGTGTGTGTGTGTGTGTGTGTGTGTGTGGTCTAGAAAGTTTACATGGAAAGGAGAATCAACCACAAAACAAAGTCACATTCTTTATATTAGGTTGTTCTTACAAAGATCTTTTACTGTTATATATAGTACAGTCATTTAAATAGAAACAACAAAGATCACGATTATCAATCACAACACTAAGATCAAGTTAAGTGGGTGGACAAAATAACAGAAACGACTTACAATACAATAGCTCTGTAGTAAATATCAGTTTGGTAAAACGGTCTTTAAATTCAAGTGTTGATTTGCTGTAGGACCAGTGTTCACAAAAAGACTAACGCTGACTGAGAGACTTGCAGAGCAACATGAAATGACCACTGAGTTACTTTAGCGCGACAGTTTAAAAAAAAACACCAAACATTTTGAGACTCCAACTGGCATTTTCTAAATAACTACTTTTCTTGCATTATAAACATGTTCCAGTTATTTTGTCCACTCTTTGTAGATGTAATCAAACCGTTTACAGCACAATGAAGCTGCGAGCATGCAGAATGGGGCGTCACTGTAGAAAGGCTCTTCTTACTGAAAGGTAAGTTTCAATGCTTATTTTCCACCTCAGCACTGCTCTGTATGAGAGATTTGAAATTGTATTCAGTCATCCGAGAGGCGTTCAGTGCCTCGATTCTCACATTCAGAAATTTAGAAAACGTACAGCAATATGTGTAGGCAGGAAACAAAGCAGTTTGTGCCATTTCTGGTAAACCTCATGAGAATGTATGGGACCTTTGCCTACGGAAATGAGGATTTTATTTGTGTTGAAATATTAGCTTTTCATCATTATTTTGCCTTTCTCAGTGCCTTCTGGATAGAAGGAAATGTCATCACAGTATCAGCTTATGGCAGGAATACAGGCATGAATAAATAGTGAGATAAGGAAACCAACTAGCTGCATTTGAATTACCGTCCCATTTTCATGCACTTTGAATGTATGCAAATAAAATACGCACATTCATCTGCCTTTCAGAATCTCAAGTACAGGACTTATTTAAGATGTTACACAGTTTACTAACGGTGACAACCATACGGAAGGGAATATAATTGCAATATGAGGATAAGGATAGTTCATTGGGGTCCATACATATTTCACGACTGAAATTCACATTTCAGTTCAAAGGAAAATATAATCAGTCACAGATCTATTTCTGCTTGCTTAGCTTGTACTCCCGTTTGATTCTGGCGTATGGGCCAATGCTGTCGTCGAACACAAAGTCCCACAACACCCGAATCCAGGAAGTGTGTTGGGGCAGCGAGTCGTAATACTCTGCTGCAATTTGCTTTACCTGCCAAAGAAAACAACATAACGAGTGAGAATTAGAGCATGTGAAAAAAAAGAATGTTAATTGTTCATCAAATATATATGAATCATCTAAATTGCAGTTGCAAAGTGTGAGAAGCACCTCAGGGACTCAGACATCCAATTCAAAATGGCACCTTATTTCACTACGACAATCAGATACAGACACAATGGCTGATAGAAGCAGATATGTAACTGCTTTGTTCAACAGGAAAACACATTGCAGTTTCTCTCATAAAGGACTTTCTGTCGAAACCATCAGACACAGTTTGGACAGCAGTGACTACAGTTGACATAGCAGGATATTAATGCACTGCTGTTTAAGTACAAAATGATTAAAAAAAAAAAATCCTGAAAATGTATCACTTGATAGTTCAAAAAAAGTAAACGAACATAAGCAAAAAAGTTTAATAAAAGCAGATTCCTGCTGTGTCAATAGGCAGGTATCTCACTTTGGATCTCCTCATGCTCTGGTGGGGCTAGAGAAGCAGCAGTTAATCAATTACAGAGCCCGGCCTTTCATCTGATAAATATTACCAGTTGATAGAAAATGTGACATGTAGCACAGGATGGGCCCATCTTATCTGCCCACACCTTGAGAAGAAATCCCTGACAACCTCAAAAGAATGACTTGAGTCCAAAGTTGGAAATTTAGCCATGATGTATCACAAGAACACAGTCTCACCTGAGGTAGTTTACTGCCAGGTATGCTCGGGAAGTCATGGTGCTCCATGTGATACCCAACGTTGAAGGTGATCAGGTTCAGTGATCCATAGTAGGAATATGTCTCGTGTCCCTTCAGGAACATGTAATGCTCAGCTATGAAATGTCCAGAGATAGGATGCAGTCCCAAACACAGGACAGAGCCTGCAATGAGGTAAACAATGGGCTTCAGCCCCCATAGATAGTAGATAATGAAGTCTACGGTGAGCTGAACGGCTGCGTTTAGGATCTCCAGCTGACCCACTGGTTTAGGATTGACCACCAATGGGCGAATGGCGTAGAACAAGGGTTGGAGGAAGAGCCAGAGGACCTTCCTGGCCGAGGTGCAGAAGAACCATCCCTCAATGTCTGTGGGGATGTCAACATCCAGTTGGTCCCCACCAAGATACCGATGGTGGTCGATGTGGTACTTCTTAAAGGAAGCAGAGTAAGGCAACCCGATGGGCAGGTTGGCCCACATGGCAAACCAGCGGTTCCACTTCGCCAGCTTGTTGCCAAAGGCCACGTTGTGAGAGATGTCGTGGATAGCCAGAGTCAGGGAGTGGTTAATGCAGCCTCCGAAGGCATAAGCCCAGAAGAAGATCCACTTCCAGGAGAGGTCATGGACCAGGTAGCAGGCCAGGAGCTGGGTTAGGACCATGCCCGATACTATCCACTTCAGCTGGGGATCCGGACCCATCAGAGACTTGATCTCTGGATATTTGGCTAGGGAGAGAAGCAGACAGAAAGGGACGTGGACAGAAATGAGGTGATTGTAGGAAAGAAAGTGAGTAGAGCAGAAGAGGATTACAGGTAGGAAAAACGAAAGGTAGTAAAGGGGAAAAAAAGAAAATAGATTTATGAGAGTAGTGAAAGGGAAGAGAAAAAGTTACAGATTAATCTTTTTCATGTTTTTAAAACATGATTATGTAGAATGTATAGGACGTTAAATATCTGTCGTGAATCCAGCAGGGAAAGTTGTTTAGCAAAACTCATTCACTGTCAATTCCAAAAGGTTGATCTCAACCTATCACTGTGATGCTGTGTAACCCAAAGAACATAATCAAGCATGGTGTGTGTATGGTACCAGCCCTTCTCCTGGGAAGGGCCTGCTGATAAAAGTCATATTTAATTGAGGGAAATAAAACTGAGTGAGATACAAGGGAGTGGTTCAAACAGTCACCATTACAAAAAGAGCGAGATTTAGTTAATATGACAATTACAAAATAATAGATTCATTCGGACACGCAGGTTCTGATTTGTTACACTGGCCACACCTTACAGCCAGAATTCAGGATCACAGGGGTAAAGGAGCATATCCCATCATGCATTAGCTGAAGATAGCCATGCACCATCATACAATTTTTCATGCAATTCTGTCCGGCTTCTTTCCTTTCAGCTCATTTGTGTGATGCCACTATGCATGCAAATTGGACCCTCCCTGGTAACTACAAGGGTTTCACTGCATGTAGGTCTCCCCTTTACTGACCAAACCCTTTTTAAGTTGTTAACGTTTAGCCAATAGGCTTTATGCCAAGATACATCTCCTGCGTATTCTACAGTATGATTTGAACTCACCTCCAGTGTGTCATTTTCTCATACCATTTAGCCATGTTTATGGGCTATACATCTTCAAGTGCGATATTGTAGCTCACTCACCAGGAAAAAAAGTTAAATCAATAACAAGACATCATAAAAGACACTGTTTAAACTCCTTAAGCTGTACAACCGTCAATGGATTTCGTCTTCACCATGTTACAGAGGAACGTGGTATTTCATTCACAAATGAAGGAGTTTTAACTAAAACTTTATTTCAGATTCAACTGCACGCTGTTTTTCAGAGCTACTGCTAAAGAAGACCATCGGGCAGCGTCACAATCATTCATGATCTGTTTGACCACTACTTTAATGATAGCCGTTAGTAACGTAAACTTTATGTCATGCAAGTGGAGCCACAAAAGGCTGCAGACATCCCAAACAAGTATCCATTCAATACAACATAAACCCGCTTGTCAATCTAAATATCATTTAAAAGGAAGTGAGGCACAACGACCCCCAACACTCGAATCCCTCTGCCTCTCCCATCAGGGCAAGGCAGAGGATAATTAAAAGAAAAAAAACACTTTAATAATTCAAGGCCTGGTGGTGTCAAACAACCCATCACCTTTTAGATGTGCTTCATTCACACCAGAGTAACTATGTGACTGCTGGACGAAGCCAGGATCAAATGTACGTCAACAGGTTTAGATCTTGTTCATCTAAACTGTTTGAATCAAATTACATAATAGATCAAATTACAAAAGCTGACTTCTGTTAATACAGATTTCATGTATTTAAAAAGTGAGAAAATAAGAAGGACCATAGCCTACATATAATACACAGTTTGGACAAATATTCTCTTGCATTAATGATGTATTGACAACAGACAAGGGTTAAGGCGGTTTGTTGAATAAAGGTTATACTTTCACGGATTCTTCCAGATCCCCCGACTCTCACAAAGCCTGTCTCCTCACTTAATGCATAGCACTGCAACTGTTTTTGTCATGCGCAGGGAATGTGTCTTGTTACAAGCTCGGAGGCATTGTCAACTGCACCTGCTATCAATATGCTGGCATTGTCTTCGAAGTCAGAGAAAATGATGACTGATAACAAGAACAGGCAATAGCCTTGCGTTAGATTTTCAAGCAAAACTCAAATCTGGTATCAAATATTCAATTTAACTTTTGCTGAAAGCCACATTCCCTCCTTTTCACTTTTGCTTACAAAACTGTCATGAAAATACTGTAAGTACCGAAATTCGAGGTGAACTGTGAGAAAAGAAAATGTGAGATAAATATGATACGATTTAAAATATTAGTCAAAATTGTAATATAAATTATATTGTATTTTTATTACTTTTATATATCATTACCTTGGAAGATCTGTAGTTTAAAATAGAGTTTAAAATAATATTTATAGTTGTGCTTAGAAAGAATTGTGTAAATTACATCCCCAAGTAAGTGAATCACTCATGTATGCCAGTTTCTATGTCTCCCCTGCAGACATTGTGGACGCAGAGCTCGTTAAGCAACAGCTAGTAAACAGGTTTAACCGGCTGCGACTTTTAAAAAATGAGGAGGAAAAAATTCGCTTCAACTTATAAAACCAACTTACCTGGAATTTAACTGAGCAGTTTTCTCAGTGACAGCAGAGCTTTTATTAGTTTTTAAATAATATCTTACCCAGAATTTCTTTTCGTCTCGAAGTGTGCGGCTGGTCATTGTAGACCCATTCAAAGTCGCCTCTTCCACCTGTCTTCCCCATGACTAACCTGCCTCCGTCCGAAGCAACCAGCGCTGTGGCGTTATGTGTGTCATCAAACCTTCACAGTATCGGGACACACCCACTCACACTGAGTGCAGAGTGCAGGTGTGAGGAGTGATCACAAACTCCTCCCCCCGAGCTGAGCGCCTGCTGAAATGTAGGCCATGTAATATTTTGCTCCCCAGCATGCAAACAACTGCATCTTTACATTCTGTCACGAGAAACAACTGGCGTGATACTTCTATGCGATGCTGTGTACTGGTATTACACAAGTAATAGTCTATTTAAAAAAAAGAAAATACAGTCCAGCTTGCTCTACCAACAATAACGCATAGGTCTACTCATTTTACGTGACACATCTATTTGGTAAATATCAGTGGAATTAATGGAAGGCTGTTAGTGAAACATAGGATAATATTGTAATCCCATTTGTTGTTCCCAGCCTCCGAAATGTGAGAATTTGCTTTGCTTGTCTCTGTTTTATATTATTGTAAATGTAATATATTTGCGTTTTGGACTGTGGCTTTTTCTATTTGAATATGTCACATGGTCTCAGGAAAATTATAATTTTCAAAGCAATTAATAAAATAAACAAACAAATTGTGTTATAATGTTTGCATAAAATATTAAGTGGAACAATTAAAGAAGCTAAAATGATGATCAAGACTCATTTCCACTAGCTTGAGTTGTTGTTGTTTTTAAACACTATTATTGTATAGCCTATTCATATTATATTACATGTTGGGCTATGATTAATACGACCATAATATGTTTTTTTGTCAATAAATAATTGATTACATATACATTTACATTCATGTAAATATCTTTATGCCCAAGTTTTAAGAATGAAGACGCTGCAGGTTTGAGTTTCCCATTTGAAAGGGCCTTCGCTGGTCCAAATCACGCGAGACTTGAGAACTAGAGCATTGTGGCGACGAGAGTACAGTACAGTAGTGTAGAGTTGTTGTAGGAGAGGGAGGAGGAAGGCTGAGTTTAGACAGGAGGAAAAGAGAGAGTGTAAAAATAGCATATAAGAAGGAGGAAATACAACATTTATCATGGCGTCGGGGGACACTCTGTACATAGAAACGGACGGGTCAGAAATGCCAGCGGAAATAGTGGAACTGCATGAAATCGAAGTAGAGACAATCGAGACAACAATTGTTGGAGACGACGGTGAACACCAGCCTATGATCGCGTTACAGCCTCTTGACTCGGATGATCCACACTCGATTCACTCGCACCAGGAGGTGATTTTGGTGCAAACAAGAGAGGAGGTGGTGGGCGAAGATGACTCTGAACTGCACACGGATGACGGGTATGAGGACCAAATCCTCATCCCAGTGCCTGCCGTGGAGGAGGACTATATCGAACAGACTCTTGTTACTTGCGCCGGGAGAAGCTCTTCGACAGGCCGGATGAAGAGGGCTGGAAGCGGAAAGAAAGCGGGCAAAAAGAGCTACATGAGCGGGGGAGAAATGGGCAGAAAGTGGGAACAGAAGCAGGTCCAGATAAAGACTTTAGAGGGGGAGTTTTCAGTGACTATGTGGGCATCGGGTAAGTACAGAGTCTTGAGTGAATTCTTTCAAGCTGGCCCCTCGCTTTGTTCTCAGCGTGTGTGTCGTGTGACTGGGCCCAGCTGGGGCCTTGTCCTCCGCTAAAGTAGGAACTATTTCCCAACTCTGAGCCACTTAAAATCCATTTGAAATGTTTTTGTTTTTATGGGAAGCCATGTTTTATGTGTCGATGGGCGCCGCCATATTTCCCCGGTCTAGAAAGTATGGCGGCCCGAAAAAATGGCGTTTATTTGGCCGACGAAGATGGCGGCGAGTGTGGGAGCGAGTGCAGCTGGCTCCGCTAGGCCGCTGTGGCGCAGTTCAACGGTAACGGTGGTGGTGCCTTCAGGGGCCCCTCAGACTTTACACTTCCTTAGAACACATACATGTTCACATAAGCTAACGTAATGTAAAACATTGTATGGTTTAAACGGTGACAAATTCCTACAAAATACTATCAACTTCTCAACTTTCATATCGGATAATTGCAACTTATATTTGTTAATATTTGAAACGTGTTTCTAAACACGGAAGTGTGAATCTTCCCGTACTATTTCACTCAGTTTATTAAAGGGAGATATTTAAAAGTACCACTTAATTGCAAAGATATGTGCATGAGTGAGTTAGTAGGTAAAGATTAGTTAGAAAAAATAGATTAGTTTGAGTTCTTTTATTTTCCGCACTATTTATATTTTATAACAAAAAACATGACACTTTTGGTCTACAACATGCTTCTATTAGTAGACAATAAGTAACAGAGAGTGTCAGGAAATACTCATGAGGAGTTGTCATGAAAAAAGGGTTTATCTCTAAATGACTTGAATCAATGTTTTCCACATGTTCTTGTACTGTCTTCATTATCAACACCTCTGTTCCTCCCATTCAGATGACAAGAAGGACATAGACCACGAGGAGCAAATCATAGGGGAAAACTCTCCACCAGATTATTCTGAATACATGACGGGGAAGAAGCTTCCTCCTGGAGGGATCCCAGGCATTGACCTCTCAGACCCCAAACAGCTGGCAGAGTTTGCACGGTATGGACGTTTATGTTAACTTTTTCTTGTGATTTGTAGTATTTACCTTAGTATTGATTTTAAATGACTGGGTGGCCTGGCCCCATTACACATACAAGTTTTACCAGGAGTTATTTTGTAACCATATCTTAGTATCTGTCTGTTTCAGGAATGTGGATAGTCTATAATGATGTGTTCACTTTTATTTCTGATGCAGAATGAAGCCAAGAAAAGTAAAAGAAGACGATGCACCCAGAACGATAGCCTGTCCACATAAAGTGAGCGGTGGTCTGTTTATTACACCAGTTTATACAGTACTGTGCAAAGGATGGCGGTTAACATACATGAACAGAAGCCTACTCTGTTCTACTGTAGTCCTTTATTGTAAACATCACCGTAAAGTAAATATATGTCCCGAGTGATGAGCTTCATCTGGTTTCTCTCCGGCTCAGGGATGTACCAAGATGTTCAGGGACAACTCAGCGATGAGAAAGCACTTGCATACCCACGGGCCTCGTGTGCACGTCTGTGCAGAGTGTGGCAAAGCCTTTGTGGAGAGTTCAAAACTGAAGAGGCATCAACTGGTACACACAGGAGAGAAACCTTTCCAGGTGAGTCCTTTTTTTTTTTTTTTAATTTTTGGTGTGTCATATTTTCCTTCTTCTGGAGAAAGCTGCATCATTTTAATTATGCTTTAAAAGAATGATTTTAATACTGAAATGTAAGCTTTGCCCAACTTGCTTTGTGGAAGAGCAATTATATACAAACCTTGCTGTTGTCATCTCAAATACCTGCAGTTGAATTCTATCAGTTTTATCTGTGAGACATGTAGCAGCGTTAACTCGATCTCTCTCGTCTCCAGTGCACATTTGAGGGCTGTGGCAAGCGGTTCTCTCTGGACTTTAACTTGCGCACACATGTGCGTATTCACACTGGAGACCGCCCGTATGTGTGCCCCTTTGATGGCTGCAACAAAAAATTTGCCCAGTCAACCAACCTGAAGTCTCACATCCTCACACACGCCAAAGCCAAAAACAACCAGTGAAAAGACAACGACGTGAACACACACTGGAGGACTTGACCCGTATCTCCGCTTCTTGACAAACTAATGTCCCGTGGCCTGCTTTGTTGTGAAACAAGAAGTCCCCTTTGTATTATCTCTAGATAAAAGGTTTTTGAGAAATTACCTTTTCTCAGACTTTTTGATAAACTTATGGAGGTTTGAACGAGGAACTCATGAGAACCCCCCCACCCCCTGCACCCAAAACACCACCACA